TTAGGTGGCTGTTACGAATGTTCTCGATGGACTTTTGACACGCGATGCAAATCTGTGGGGTTCGTGTCCAAAAATCGAGAAGATAAGATAAATTTTATAAAGAATGGCTTGTGTAAAGAATCATTGAATCATACTATTCACAGATTCTTGATGCACATCCTAGTGGTGTTGTACATCGTGAATTGATCTCTTTATGGTCTCAGTTCAAAGATGAGTCTGAGCGTTATAAGCCTGAAAATATTGTTGCTAATGATTTAGTTTGTAACAACTGTTACGGATAATAATTTACTACGAGAACTGTACTAAAAATCTTATCTCTACTGACAGAGGGAATTATGAAAATTCGGTCTCATTGTTGTCAGTCACTTTTATTAGAATAATACAATATTGCTTTACCAAGCATCCTATTTATAAATAGCGATTCTTTCTTCTTGTTTAATATCTCATTCTAATTACAATGGAGATTGTTGAATCTTCTCAAGAAGTTAAATCTCTTCCTTTACTAAAAACCATGTGTGTTCTTGGGGGTTCTAAACTTATTTATTCTTCTGCTCAAAGCATTGCAATTGTTTCCCAATTAGTGAGAGAACTAAGTTTTCACAAGATAAATATCTTTTAAGGAGGTACTAGTATGACATTCTTTGACAGTTTGCTTCTGGCTGGAAGATGTGTCAACATAGAAGTAAAAAGTGTTATACCTTTCCGCAGAGCTTCTACCAAAGTTATTAAAGATTCTTCCAGTTTGATGCTAACTCATACTATTTCTGATTGTATATTGTACTTGATTAATAATAGCGATGCCTTTATTATCCTTCCTGGCGGATACGAAACTTTGATGACTATGTTCACTGGTGCCTCTTGGGTTGATATGAAGTTGCATAACAAACCTATAGGGTTGTTGAATTTTCATAAGTTTTTCCAAGACTTGCTTGGATTTTTATATAAGAGTTTGTATCAAAATTTCATATCAGCTTTAACTTGAGATATCTTTAAATCTGCAGATACTACATTTGAACTTATCAAGAAGCTTCAAGAGAGCATCATTCTTCAAGATTCTGTGAAAATTCCCTGAATGAAGCGGAAACGAGCTTGTGATTCCATAGATCTTTCATTATAAATTCGAACTCCAATTTGGGTGGCAGAGTTACGGAGTTCTAGACTCTCGAGACGTACCAAACTTTTGAGTTTGTCTTATGTATTATTGAGGGTTTTTCTTCTTTTTGTTTGATGTCCCATTAAAGTTGTCCTCAATAAATGGAATAAATTCTTGAGACTTTGATAATTTCATATGTATAGCAACTTCCTTTTAGCATTATTCTTGTACTAAACATTGTTGAGTTACTATACTAATCAATCCTTCTAGTGATGATACCTAGAACACCTATGATATAATCTTCAAGAGTTCCAAGGTCATACAGATGCAACAATTTGTTGTTATTCTAATCATATCTTGCAACCCTTCCATTAGATTAGGTGTAAGAACATTAACTATATGAATTCTTCTTTTTCATATATCTTGTTGCCGCCTTATAAATAGTACCAGAATTTGAACAATAACAATATCAATGTAGATCTGACATGGTACCTGGTTGTTCATTCACCTCTGCATGATTAATTGCATAAACTCGCGCCTGCGGTCCTTGCTGCTAATTATAGGCCTGTTGGGGTTGACTTTGTCGGTTTATATCTCGTTCGGGACAGGTACGGGTTATGTGACCCGATTTTCGACAATTATAGCAGACATATTTCCCTGCTAAGCACTCTCTCTTGTGCTTTTCCCACAATTTTCGCAAGCCTACACCGGATTTGTTTGTTGATTCGCATATCTGGGTTTATTTTGATGATTCTTTCTTTCATCATTCCGATTCTTCCATTTCCTTTTTTTATCCTTCAGTCCATCAGTAAAATGTCAGAATCATTTTTCTTCAGTATCTATCATGTAGGGCACGGAAAACCCTAGTCGAGTAAACTCTTTTTTATATTCATCCACAGTCAAGTTATTATGTCCAAAGTCAATAATTGTCCCTCCATCTGAGCTCTGTAATGACCCGGATAAAATTTTTCACGTAAAATTTCCTTAAATCGATCCCAAGTTAGACTTGCGTTTTTGCCCGATCTCATGTCCCAATACTAACCACCAAAGGCTAGCATCTCCAGTCATTTGAAATTGAGCGCACAGAATTCGGGCATTCCATGGCTTCAAAAATCATTTCAAGGTTTCGTAACCATTCATTACCATTCTTAGATTTCCTTACCCATAGAACTTATCGGGCTAAAAAAAACCGCGAAATTTTTTATTATTCGCGATTGATCAAGGTCTATTTCTACTGTACAGGGTTTTGAACTCTACGATTTGCCATCTGAATAGCAAATTTCATTAAAAGAGTTCAGTACTACTGCTAATATTACCTTAGCAACTTCCTATCTTACTTACTAGAATTTCATCTAATTGGCCAATCTAAAGTCCTTAGGTAATAAAATATAAACTTACTTTATCTTTTACCTCGGAGTTGGCGTGGCATGAGCGTGGGGCGGTCGTAGCTGTAAAAATTTCCTTTTAGATCCTCAGAAACGGAAATCGAGCTCTGATACCAATTGTAACACCCCGCTTTTAATTTATGTTGGAAAATAAGAGTAAATTTTTCGCTTTTCAAAACTTATAAAAATTACTCTACTAATCTCGGGATGTTCCCTTTTTCTTTTCATAAAATACATGTCAAATAATCAAACTGAGATTTGTTTATTTAAAACATAAATTCTTTATTGTCGAATCTTTATTTGAAAATATCAAAACCTTCATTTCACATCAAATTAAGTTGATGCCATGAAATATTAAATCATATAGCATTCGACATTATGAAAATAGATAAATAGCAGAATATTAAACTTGGTTTACTGTGAGCCATTATTTTACAGAACATTTAAATGTCCTTTATTTGCCATTTAACTCGACCACCTCCACCTTGACTTAGCCATCACGCTCAACTCCATTACATGAAATGTCATAATATAATGGGAAGTGAGTACATAACCATGGTACTCAGTGGAAAATCCAACATCACATTCATAATAATTATGACATTAAATAAACTGGCATATATGCATATAACTGAAATAACTGACATATAAACATAAACTTCTTTCTGCTTTCGGACACTTGGCCGACATCATGTGCACGATTCCCACATAACATTCAGAATAATTATGAACATTAAATAAACTGACATATATGCATATAACTGAAATAACTGGCATATAAACATAAACTTCTTTCTTCTTTCGGACACTTAGCCGATATTTTCGGACACTTGGCCGATATCGTGTGCACACTCTGATGTTAGAACATGCTTGGGTTCCATCAGAACCAGGCTTAAGGAAACTTAGCCTTTACACCGGTGATCATTCATATAGACCTGAACTGTTAGGTCATTTCCACACTTGGGGAAATCATTTCTTTCGTACATACCTTGGCCTTTTACACCGAGAAATAAACATATGTAAATCCCAGTATAGGGTTCACACCTTTTTCTGCTGAATGCTGAAATACTGAGTCTCGACTTCTTAATCTTCAATGAAAATCGAAAGTGAAACACGAGGAGCTCTTCGGCCGTTCCCACGAGGTCACTCGGCACCAACGATACCCGGTTGGGTGAAAGGCTATGGAGGCTGGTTAGTAGTGTTCTTTAGGTAGTATATAGCCTATGGTTTCAATATGGCATGAGAGAACTTGA